CAGTGTGGTTAGAAATGTGTCTGCTCACCATTGCCAGATGACCGAAAGCCCGGGGGGGGGCGTGTGTTTTAAACAAAAGGTAGTTATGCTTTTTACAGTGTAAAGAAATGAGTGCTCCATAGTTTAGTTTTTCTGTATTATAATCTAGACCTAGAGTTAGAGCTGTGTGAATTTTATTGTGAAATTACATGAGATGAATTTGATGGCAGCTTAAAACATTTACTCAGAAACTAAAATTTTGATTTACCGCAAATCAATAGCAATGCAGTAATACAGTTAATAAGAGACTCAGGCATTGACTGTTCACTGGAACATAATATTGCTAGTATTTGGGAACCGTTGGTGAAACTTGGCATAGTTGTAACCTCTCAAAAGAAAAGAGTATAAATACGTACAAATAAATACAGTTTGCCTTTAGTGCACGTTAGAAACCGGTGTTACAACACAAACGGCGACCAGGCAAGACATCTCTCAGATTTGATTCAGGCGGGTATTGCTCCTGTGATTCTCCTTCAGAGCATCCCTTGAGTCACATTTAATGTGCACTCTCCAGGTACATGTCTAGCCCAGGTGAGGTGGGGAAGTAGATAAAACCATCCTTGTTTGCAGTGAAATCACGACCAGACAAATAGTCCCCCGAGTTCTTTACGTCAGTTTGCATTAGGGTCCATTAGGTGCGTACGTATTTATTGGTACTGATGCAGGTAGCACAGCGTCCGTGGTTTAGTAGAGGAATTTATTTTTTCTTTGTGTTAAAATTTTTATAAAGAAGAGGTACGGTGATGGCATAAAGGAGTCATCTCTGCCTGATGGCAGAGGAGAGTCGTGCTCAGAGTTCCCCAGGGTGATGGTGACGAAACCCTTTCTTAAAGTATGGTCTCCTTTTCATCTCACTGTAGGGGTCATTTAAATTTATGTGAGTGGAGCTGTAGATGTGAGTTCAGAGCAGTGAGAAGTAGCAGGTAACAAAGGCATTTGTATACACTGCGAAGTAGTTTGGATTTTAGCCAGTGGATCGCCATTCAGGGGTTCACGTACAGGGTGGCCATCGTTAAATTCATCAAATTTACACCTGGAAAGATAACGCTGGTGGGCCTTATGAACAGTAGGTCAGAATGGTGAGGTATTTGAGGAGGTAAGTTAGGGCCAGGCCACTATAATAACTAAGAGGCATATTGATTTTAATATATCTGAAATGGATGTCTTGATGCCAGTATTTCCCCTGCCACCAGCCCCCTCCACATAAACAAAGACATCCACTCATCGAGAAGTTCCCATCTCGGTGAACATTAGCCCTGCTGTTCTACTTGCTCAGGTCAAAAATGCTGGAGTCACTCTTGACTCTTCTCTTACATCCTATGTACAGCCCATCAACAGGTATTGTCGGCTCTGTCCTAACAGTCTGTCTAGTTTCCAGCGTTTCTCACCATCTCTGTCTCCACTGTCGGGGTCCAGGCTGTCATCTCTCCCCGATTGCAACAGTGGTTGTCCAATGGTCTCCCTACTTCTTATCTTGAGCCTTTAGTCCGTTCTCAACAGTGTAAATCATGTGCCTTCCCCGTTGTCTTCTCATTACGCTCAGAAGAAATTCACCAAGTCCACACAGCGGATGACCTGTCTTCTCCCAGCTTGTCACGTTCCCCACTGATCTCCTGTCAGCTACCCCCAGACCCAGGCACACTGCATCTAATACTAACAAGAACGGGTGTGGACTTTTCTCTTAAAGAGTGGAATGAACTTTTGGGAAAAGCAAAGACTTATCATGAGAATGTTGAGACCACCAGAATACAGTCATATTTCCTTTGGTATTTGTGGGGGCCTAATTGAGCATAAGAATTATTATAGTCAAATCATTTGGCCTTGAGGTTAGGCATATCCCGAGGACTCCAGTCAGGCATTGAATTCTGTTTGTATAATTGTACTAATATAAATTCATTAATTATTTTTAACTCTTTGGCCAGAGAACAGATATATGGCATAGGTGATAGGACACGCTGAACATTAACCCTGACAATGAAAGTGGAATTAATTACGTGGAGTTAAAATTATGTGGCACAGCGGAAAGGAAGATGTAAAGTGTGTAAGCTCATTAGTTTACAGAGCTAGGAGTTCCCAGATGACTGTCAGAAGTTGGTAGAATAGAACATAGAGTTGATTAAAGATATTATTTAAAGTTTCACAAGCTGCTATCAGAATCACCCCAAATAAGACCACTTGGTACCAGATGCATAGATTATTTTCGGGCAGGGGAAGCTATAAAATACCTTTTTCAAAAGTACTGTGTGAAATGATTTTACCATGGTAGTTTGGAGTGAACGCAGCAATTATTAAGGACTGTGCTGCTGGTCACTCCTTAGTCACCAAGTGCTGCTGTTCACCCTGGAGTGACAGGACCATAAAGCATGTTTATTCTGTAAGTTACTCAGTGCTAAGATCTTGAGCAGAATTTATAGTTACCGCACTATTGTCAGGATTTATCTTAAAAATCTTCAAAGAAACTGTAGTCAGTAGCACTCTGATTCATCTTAATAATACAGGTCTTTCTGTCGTGACACTGTTTATGTGTTTCTGCAGTGCCCGGCCTTCTGTCACATCTGTCAGGGTCTGTGGAACTGAGGGCTGGGGAAGACCACTGGAAACCTGTATCACTCTTAGTCAGGGCTGCACAAGGGGATGGCCCCTGAGGTGAGAGCCTGCTGCTTGGGCAGGCAGCCGAGCCGGGCTGGGGCTGCACGGCCTCGGTTACAGCTGCTCCAGCACCGGGAGCCTGTGCTCAGCTGGCCACTCGGTTTCCAGGACAGGGTGACCCTCACGCTCTGGACAGCAGCTGCTGCAGTGCTCGACTGGTGAGGTGGTGAGCCTGGTACACACTGTTGAGGATGAGGCCTGAGTTTTAAAAATTCTTAAGATATGTCCAGAAATGCCCCTGTGTCTAATGCAGCTCATAACCCAGGGCTCCCCCCTTTGCTGCTGAGGACTTGATGTCCCGCCACTGCCCTGCCAGGTGGAGAGCGTGTGCGCCCAGGAGACCTCTGCTGCCCGGACCCCTTTTCCCCTTTGCCAGCTGAAGACGGGCTACGGCTTAGGAAAGGAGGCCCTGCCGCGGGGGAGCGTTCATCCTGCTCCGCTCCCTAGTGCCTCTGCCCTCCCCCACGCTGGCTGGCGGGGCGTTGCGCGGGCCGGTCCGTTTCCTTCCTCATCTTAAGCTGTAGAAGCAGGGTGGGTGTAAGCCTCGGAGTCCAAGCGCGAGCCCTTGGGGAGGTGCGGGAGCCTTGCTTACTAAGGGGGCACATGCGGTAGAGAGGGGGCAGGGAATTGGGGTTGCGGGGAAATGACCCAAAAAACCTAGGGAAGAAAGAAATGGAAACAAAATTAAACTGTTATAACTAAACACTTGGTGGTATTTAAAAAGTTTTATTATTTAGCCCTAACCAGCTGGCTAAAGGGATAAAGAAACTCCTGTTTTTGTCTGTTGTTAGCAAGACACTGTGCTGGACACTTACCATTTTTAAAATCTCTTTTAATTCTATTTTTTTCTGGAACAAAGTTAAATTTCTGGTTTGGAGATTATGAACCACCCAAAGGCAAGAATCTCGTTGTGTTTATTTTCTTTATGCATCCAGGGGGGTAGATTGACTGGAGATGAGCAGTATTCTTCCCTCGCCCCCCACCCCCACCCCCGCTCTTGCACAGCATCTGTGGTGGATTTTACTCTGTTAATTTACATCAGCCGGAACTGTTCTTTGCTGGAATTCAGTTCCCTGCATGGTTGGAGGTCAGTGTCCACAAGAGACGTTTTGAGAGATGGCAGCGAGGGAGCAGCAGCGATGCTCCTCCGCCCCAGAGCTGCTCCGACGCTGGGCCAGGTCACGTCTAACGCGTGAGGAGCCCCAGCGTCCCTCAGACCGCCCGCTGTGGAAGGTGGAGGCTGCAGGCAGTAGGAGTGTGGGGTGTGGCAGGTCCAGACTCTCCTCCCACTACACACACCCTCCCTTTTCATTGGGGTGACACTGGTTAACAACATTATGCAGGTTTCAGGTGCACAGTTCCACAAAACCTCACCTGGACACTCTGTTCTGTGTTCACCGCCCAAGTCAAGTCTCCGTCCATCACCACTTGTCCCTCCTGTACCCTCCTCCACCTTCCTCCGCTCCTCCTCCCCCAGCAGTCACCACACGGTTGTCATGTCCATGAGATTTCTCTCTCTCCCCTTTTTTGGCTATTTCCCTCCACTGCCCACATCCAGCTCCCACCCCTGACAGCTGTCAGCCTGCTTTCTGTCTGAGAGTCTGTCAGTACTTTGCTTGTTAGTTCATTCTGTTCATTAGATTCCACATATGGGTGGAATCATATGGTGCTTGCCCTGGCCAGCGTAGCTCAGTTGGTGGTGTAACCAAAGCTAAGGTTCAACTACCTGCTGCCATGGCAGCCAAACTCATGAGACAGGTGTGGGTGAAAAAAGGAAAGAGGTTTATTTGAGTGCTGGCATCTCGAGAAGATGGGGGACTCTTATCCAAAGCTCATCTCAGAATCTCCGTGCAAGAGGCAGAGTGGAAGCAGAACAAAATCGGGAGGAGGCACCATGGACGTGCTGGCACTGCCCTCGCTGTCCCAGTATGGATCTTTAGGCAACCTATTGATGTTTCTCTCTCACATGGATGTTTTTCTCTCTCTCTCTCCCCTTCTCCCTAAAAATCAATGAAAATGTCCTCAGGTGAGGATTAAAAATACTAATAATATGCTACTCGCCTTCCTTTGGCTTATTTCACTTAGCATAATGCTCTCCAGATTCACCCACGCAGTCACAAAGGGTATGGTTTTTTAATAAAGATGTTACAATTAGCACGTTACAGGCTGGGTTTACTCTGCAAAGTGTTCAGACCATCCTCTCCAGGTGAAGACAGCTGCCTGAGCATGATCCTTTTGTTCATGTCACTGTTCACATTGGACCACATCTTTCAGACTTTATTTTTCCTTCCGTTCTTGTCTTTACCTTCCAGGTAGCAGATCTGGTGTGTTAATTGTGAAAATTCTAGAGCTGCACGAAGAATGTGCCCTTCAAGTTGCCACTTGTGAGCAGTTAGTGGGACTACCGGCTGACAGCCCTTCCCAAGGGGAGGCCTCTGGGACTGGCCTGAAGGTTCTTTTCAGCAAGGAGACTGCTCGAGATCTCAGGGGACGTCCCCAAGATATCGTCCAGATCTACCCACCCTGGTGAGTCTGTCTCAAGGCACTTGTCTCAGAAATGTTATCAGGAACCTTTTCGTCACTTTATTATAGAGAAATGCCAGGGGAAGGAAGCCAGGATGTTATGTAGATGTTATGTAACAGAAGCACTGAGTTGTCTCTGATGGCTTGCTTGTCGGGTTTGATCTAAGGAGCATAAATGGTCATTAGTGGATTAGAAAAATTATTTTTAGGATGCCATTTTTGCTCTCTTATGCACAGGATATTAATTTTTACCACACACAAATAAAGGAAGTCTTGCCTGGCTGGCGTGGCTCAGTGGTTCAGCGTTGACTTATGAACCAGGAGATTGAGGTTCGATTCCTGGTTGGGGCGCGTGCCCAGGTTGCGGGCTCCTCGATCCCCAGCAGGGGGCGTGCAGGAGGGAGCTGATCCATGACTTTCTCTCATCATTGATGTTTCTCTCTCTCCCTTGCTCTCTCTGAAATCAATAAAGACACTAAAAAAAAGAAAATCAAACTGTTTTGAGAGAACGAACCAGTAGCCTTGTTTAAAAAACTAACTTGATCAGCAATTTTTAAAAGTTTCTTTTGTCTTTTTACTGTGTCTGTGGCAAGTGATCATGAGTCTCTAGCTAAAGTCTCCCATTAAGGCTGAGGGTATCAGAAGACAACTTGCTTTATTTTATTTTATTTGTACTTTATTTTAATTTTAATACATTTTTTTAAACATTACATACAGGACCATACACGGAGCATATATATACGTTTCAATGAATAATTACAAAGTGAATAGTAATTCCTGTCCAGTCCAAGAAGTAGCCTGCAGTGGTACCTGGGACCGCCCCCTTCCCTGCCCCTGCCACCCCCT